CATTTTTTCTTGCTTAAAATTACCATAAAAGGAAAATTTTTAACAAAACGGACGCGATCAGGAGAGAGTTTTTTTAACTTTCGATCGATTTTGTATTTTACTCATATTAATTTTCCAATAGAATTACTCTAACCATAATCTATTCAATTTTTGAATATAGATATACTAATTCAGGATAATTAATTTCAACTTGAAAGAATAAGAAGGATAATATATAATCACAATCTATCTATCAATATATATATTTTCATACCTATTATGGCAACTGTCCAAAAAACCCGAAACTCCAAAATTAATAGCTTTACCTTTATTTTGGATCAGATCATGAAAAAATATAATCTATCTGCAGAATTTGATCCATTTCAATTACGTGCTTATGCCAATGAGCTTGATACTATGTTATCAAATTAGAAAGCTTATAAAGATGTAAAAGAGGCTCTTCGTTGATGCCTATTTAAAGGGAATCAAATAGAAGTTCTTGTATCAGAAAAAAGGGTAAAGAAACTTACTATCAAAGAAAGAGCTCAGTATTGTGCAAAAACTGAAAATGTGTGGGATATTTGGTTACATGCTTTAACTTTAATTGAAACAGAAAATAATACTGATGATAAGCTTGTGGCGACCAGTTCACGTCTTTTACAATTTTGTAAAGAGTTGGCAGAAGCTGAAGTTGATCCCGAACAAATTAATATATATGCCAAATTATCAAAATTTACTCGAGCTTCTAACAAAATTCAGAAGAGAAAACTTGAAAAGTGCTTATCTAATTCACCTAAAACTCTCAAACACTTTTCTTTAGAGAAAGGACTTAGAAGAATTCAAAGTATTGATATTGCTAAAGTTCTCACTATACAGGATTTTGCAGATATAATCATGATGTTAAGCATGAGACCTGCCGAAGTAATTACTCTTCAAATTATTCATTATGAAACTTGTGAATTAAATTCTCCTAAATGGTACAAGCCTAGTTATTCTTGATATTGTATCGGATATATTAAAAATAAAGGAGAAGCAAAAAGTAATTCTGAACCTCGGCAGTTTCTATCCATGGAAAAGAATCCAGAACATATAAAAGAATTACTTACCTGAATCCAAGATGCAATAGCAACTGGAAAGTTACACAATCCTGTCTATAGTATTAGTGGGAAATGCAGTACAGAAGTATTTAGTAAATTTTTAAAACCATATGGTATTACAGCTAAAAGATTGAGAAAAATCAGAGGTAAAGATGCTTCTAGAGTTCATAATGGTCAAAATTCAACTTCACAGCATCTCGATTTTCTTATCAGAATTGTCTTGAGACATAAGATAGACTGTTTTGATGTAGGAAAAATTATGTTAAGAGTGATACTTCTGATTCTGAATCTGAGTTTAATGATTCTTTAGAGTTAAAACTTTCTGATCTCAAGGCTTAAGCTTTGACATCTCAGCCTAAGAATAATAACTATAATCCTTTCGGGTCTCAAATTGCAGAAATAGATTCAATGTTAGCTATACACACCCATTACCCATGTACTCACATATAACTAAACCATTAATACTGTCATATATCGTTTTTACCTCGGGAGAAAGATAAAGACGGAGAATTAGTAACAGGGAGGCACTTTAGATGGACAGGGCCAATATGGTATGCTAAAGTTCCTAGAGGTGTACAAATTAGTACAGTTCTGAGGTGTATGAGGTCAGGCGAAAGAGGCAATGG